TTTTTTTTTTTTTTTTAATATTAGAGTCTAAATTTCTTATAATTTTTTTATCGACTCTTGAGTTTTATAATGATTTTTAATTAAAAATTTTAATTAAGTAATTAAAGTTGAGTTAAAAATTATGTTTCGTAATTAATAAGAGTATTTTTTAAAAATAATTGTATATAATCACATTAAAAAAAGAGAATATTAAGAGAATTTAAAAAAACACTCAATATTAATTCTTATCTCATATATTTGTTCTTTTTCTTTATTATTATTCTATTTAAAGATTTAGATAATATTTTCTTTTTTCTTAATTAAAAAACTACAATATATTTAAATAAGATTAAATACCAATGCTGTAATATCCCAAATTTTATGAAATTCTAGCATTTAAGTTGAGGACCTTTGTGTGAGATAATATTATTTTGGGCTTAATAGCTAACATTTCTAAACTTTAGGGACTTAAAAGAGAAAAATTAGGATAAAAAGGGGTAAGGCTGGTAATTCTTCCTCAGCCACACCGGTCATCTTCTTCCCCGCCGCAGCCCACCCGAAAGAAGAAAAAAAAAACCCAGCCGCCGGCGACATCTCCCCTTGAGAAAACCGGTAAAGCTTGGTGATTTCTCTTTTCTTTTCTTGCTCAATAACAAGCTTTAGGACTTAGAACTCTCTCTCTCAACCCAGAAATTCCAGATCTGCTCTGCTCTTCCTCCCCTGTCCGCTAGTGCTGCTAGGTACGAATTTCTGGGCTTTTTCCGGTAAGCCACAGCCATGAACTTCATCTTTTCAGCTTTATTTAGCTTGGGTTCATTTTAAATCTGTTGTTTCTTCAAATTTTGGTAGCCCCTTGAGCTTCCCCTCCAACTCCCGCCGACTGCCAAGCTCGCCAGACCCGGTTTGCTGGCCGAAAATTCGGGTAGGTAGCAGCTCTCCCAGTCTGGATTTTTAATCCATTAATTGCTGCCCTGTATTGTTGCAATTTTCTGTGTATTGTGGAAGGAACCCGTTAGTTGCTACCCCTTGTGTTGTCCGAAAATTCTGTTGAAATAGGGATAAATTTCGGCAGCCTTTGAACATGTTTTAAGTTTAATTCATGTAGAAAATTAGCTTATTTTGGCTGCTGTGATTTTTGGAGAAAACCCCGTGATTTGCTATTGTTTTGCCAAAGTTCGGGTTCTCCTTTTTCTGTCCGTGAATTTGGAAAATTTGGTATATATGTGTTGTGTATAATTAAATTAATAATTGGAATAAAAGCCTTGTTCCCCATTGTTTTATCCGTGAAATTGGGAAACCAAATGGGTGAAATTTGGCTCTAAAACCTCTTGTTTAAGAGATTTTTGGATATTATGATTTTATTTAAAAATATTTGGACCTTGGGTAGATATACGGTTTTGAATAAAAGTGAGTTATATTATAGTTGAATTTTCGTGTGAAGTTCATTGGTTAGTAAATTTGTGAGATTGTGTTAATAATTCTAGTAAAGTTTGAATGTATTTATTTGGAGTATCAGGTGCTGTTATGGCTTAGAGCACTGGGCTTAAGTCCTCGGTTTTATGCGATTTAAGGTAAGTAAATTATGGTAATACCCTTCGATTTCAAAGTATGTTTTAAATCATTTTTTGAGATGATGACAAGATTTAAATTGATTTTATTGATTTAAATTGATTTTATTAGCACTGAGCATGATTGGTTTGAAATGAAATTGTTTTCATTTGCATTGAGTAGAGCATGCCTGCTTGGAATTGATTGAACTGCCTGGATGAACTGAGAATTTTGTAAATTTTGAGTTTTTCTGTTAAATCCATGCTCACACGAAAATTTTTCGGTTTATTTTTGAAATTTGAGATTGATTGTGAATTACGGATTTTTCTATAAATCTTGCATGGTTTTGTCTTTGATATAGTCATGATTATTGTGCCCACTAGTGGGAGGTTTATAAACGTTAGCACATGTCGACATGTTTACTGATAGGACCGGTTCATTCTGTAATCCTGTCAATGGGATAATACATTGGTTATTACTGAAATCCTGCCAATGGGATAAAACATTGGTTATTACTGTGCCCGCCAGTGGGAGGTTTATAAACGCTGGCCATGACTTATAGATGAGACTACTATTGAATTTTTTTCTGCATTAACGGTTTGTCATTGAACGCTTTGCTATTGAACTTAATTTGATTTTATATTAATGATTTATCATTGAACGTTTTGTTATGTTAAATTGTTTATCTGGCATGCTTAAATTTTACCCACGGGCTATCCATATTTACTTACAGAGTTATCTCATAGTTTTTACTTATCCATTATTTCAGGAAGTGAAGTTAAGGATGGGGAAAAACAAGGTGAGTGTCGAGTTAGAAGGTTATCCATCTTGTAAATTGAACATAGATTTAGATATAAATCATGATCTTGTAAACTAGACTTTATTTGGAAATTATGATATCATGGTGAATTTTATAATTTTATCTTCAGATTTTGTGATATCAGATTGTGATATGATAAAGTTTTGAACCTTGTGCATTTGTGAGACCCTTTCACGAGTGCACGACGTTTGTTACGCCTTGGATTTGAGTTATGGGGCGTGACAAATGTGTTGCATATGCATTGTACAGATTATATTTATACATTAAATTTTATTATTGTTGATGTTGTTGTTATTATAATAATAATATTATTATTATTAAATAGCAATTTCAAAAATGTGTTAAGAAAAATAAAAATAAAGCATATATATGTAAACTAAAATAAATAAATAAAAAGGAATCAAAAATTTTTTTTATTGATTTTGACATTTATAAATATTGATAAATTAATAATGACAGTTTTCAAATTCTTCATATTTTTAATTTATTCATCAAAAATCTTATTTTGCATCATTATTATAACATTTTTTTATACATTTGTATTCAAAATAAATACATATATATATATATACATATTTTATTATTTTTAAAAAAATATTTTTGATAAAAAAATTCTATATGAAATAAAATCAAGCAAAAATCTTCTTCTTTGCCAAGCCCTTCTAGATTTCACTTGCTTGTGCGCATTTTTTTTCAAAAAAAAAAAAAAATTGCATGAGGTGGAAAAAAATTAAAAATAATGAAAATAAATAATGAATAAAAGTGGTAAAATAGTGTTATAGATAATAATAAATAAAATTGTAATCATATGTTTTTATTTTTCATAAAAATCAAACATCTATTGATCTTCGTTTGATTTAATTCATTCATTATATATGTAACGAAAGGTAATAATAATAAGATAATTAAGAACATTAAGAAGAGAAGTGAAAGTGGAAGAGAAGAAGGTAAGAAGATAAGAAGGTAAAACAAATATTATTAGTACATATATTTATTATATTTTAAATGTAAAAATACTATATTTTCTTTTTAACTTTTAACAAAA